AGACCAAATGAAAAAGCGCATCTACGACATGTATATGGGGTTGACATTATTTAAATGACGACTGAAGACCAACAACTCATTTATTTAAAAGTTTATAGTCCATTTTCAAAAATCATCCATTTTCGAGTTCTGTGACGTTTAGCTTTAGCGATTATCATTTGCTTGAATGCTTTAGGCAAACAAATGGAGTTCTATTCAACTAGCTGACTTTTAGGCATTCTGAAATGCTATTTCTTTGCTCTGATATTCTCATTTTACGTTATATTTCCCTACGTCGAATAACTCATTGTCCTTTCAACTTCAGCTAGAGCTAACCAAAAGTCAGCTGACAATTCTGCAGTTGATGATTATCTGTTCATAAATCAGTTATCATTTTAATACAAAACATGTGACTTTTTTTATTAATTTATCTCAGTTTCAGAACAAACATTCTACACATACAATGTAACTATAAGTTTTCCTGTTGAGCGTTCTTTAAGATTTGCTATGTAATCGATGAATTAACGTTTTACCGTGTTTATCACTTCTAATTTATAGACGCAAATTACACTACTTGCACATTCTTTAGTCTCATATAGCTTTACGTTACTTTTCCCAGAAGTTTCACATGAAGCATTCAATTTCTTTCCGACTGAACCTACATAGTACCTAACCATCATTCTTTAACGAAATATTTAACAGATTTATTCTGTAGTTCAGAAGCACAAAACCAAAAAAGTATTCATTGTAATTCTCAAGTACTTTTATTGCTCAGATCTCTTGTTTAGATGTCAAACACTGACCCGACCTACTGTCTTAATGACCAAGTGTATTTCATCATAATGTCTAAGATTTTCTAAAAAAATAGTTACATTTTTGTAAGTAATAGATATATCGTTGGTGTTTTACTACCATGTAAGTTTTTGAATAAAATTGTTACAAATTTTAGTTCTATCAAATCTTTATGTCCTAATATTTATCTTCATATACTCGAACAGTGGTTAACGGTAAGGTGCTTAGAAATTCCAGTGATTTAATTATTATTCGTTCCCTCTTCACAAACCTTTTCTAAAAGAAATAGAATACCAAAGATCTGATAGATACTATGAAGTATTATCTGGATTTGAATTAAACCCATTACAAATGAATAGCAAAATGCAACTTTTTCATGACCAAACGCTGTTTATCCACACCACATACTCAACTTTATTACTCTGTAGTTTATTAAATTACATTAATACAAAAATAGATTTTAATGCAACAGGTGGACTAGACTTTAGTTAACTTCCACATAGCGTTATTCATTTATTCAATACTGTAAAACCCTATTAATAATCTTTTTAAGTATCTCATAATTAACAAGTGGATTTCAATTTATGCTAATTTCTCTTTGATTGATTTTTAGTAGAAAAACAGTTAGAAAATAAATGAATCCTCAAGATAACCACTAATGAAGTGACTGGAAATACTAATGATTGAGCTCATTTAAAATCAATATTTGACGTTTTGAGAAATATTGCCAGATATCACTGAGTACTAAACATTTATGCCATATTGTTTAATATTTCCTCAAAGATACATACACTTAGCATTAAATCAGAAATCCGATCTCCAGTCTATAAACTCAATTAGAATTGGATTGGATTGTAAAGTAGTGCATCATATTTTGGTAAATATTGTTTTTAAATAATTACAATTGATTGATCACTGGGTGGTGATCAATCTCATGCGTCTCAAGTCCGTCTTAGTGCTGACCGAATGCTATCGATCAAGTTGCAATGTGGCCACTAGTTTAGGTGGCTCGACACTGCATGCACTGTGTTGAGATAAGATGGTGGTCGGAGGTGATCAACAGGAAACCCTGGACCCGGGTTTCATGCTAATTGACACTCGTCACCAAGGTTTACCTATAATCTTGGGGGAACTGATGCTCCCTGACGGATTCATTTCCATGTCACCCACCTTCATAGTCAGAGACGTTACAACTGAGCTATTCGCGTTCTCTTATAAACAACCCATTAATATCGGTAAGATGACCAGAATATCTATTTTCTATTCTAGTTACATGTTAAGAAATACAGTAAGAAATAACCCACCAGTTACTACGTTTCAGAGTTCTGACGTTGATATTTACTAAAAAGTTGCATAACATCCCACTGGTCATATACATAACTTGAAGAAAGTGTTTTAAATATTTTTTAAAATATATTTTGATTTCCTAAAATATCATTAATAACCATTTTGAACTTATTTTTAAGTGGACTGGATTAGAAGGAATAATGTTTTCGAGTGTCTCCTTAAAAAAATTAATAAAAATCAGTATATATAAAAATGAAAAATCACACCCCTGATTATGATCGAAATTCAATTGGATTAACGCGAATAAGAACTTAAAAGTCAAATAAAAATTTTCGAGTGTCAAACACCTACGGTGGTGTACACGGATATTGAATGAACTGGTTGATATAGGGGGATAGGGGATAAAAATTGTGTTTCAGATCTGTAAAATCTTCCCACCCTATCCTGACTTCAGGAAAATACCATTTAATATTAAAAAAAGCAAGAATCTAATAGATAATATTATACTTTCTCACCACACTCCTTTTATAGTTCATATGTTTTCACTACTTGAAAGTGTTACATCTTGTTTTAAAGAAATAAATATCTAGTTAGTCTTAGCTTCTACTTGACAAGTCAATGCACACAGTAACCTAATTCAACAAAATGTGTAATAATTGTTCTGACTAAAGTCACCATTAAAGTGAATATGAAAGCAGTTGATAAGATATCTGTTACTGAGGCGCTTTATATATATATATATAACATGAACGAAGTTTATTTTGAATAATGATTAATAATGTGAAAATTGAACTCGATTCACTTTGATGATACTATCAATCTGTTTAGATTTTATTTCATAGAAATTGATCATTATTTACAAGTATCTTATCAGTTGACATTCATTGATCAGTTGTATGCAAAGCTATGAAAGTGCACTAATAATTTTTGTGATTATGAAATTCATGAATGAGTCTATAACTCTTTGCAAACAAATGAAGTTTTTGCAAGCTGTAGACAAGCCAGGTCAACCAGTGTGAACTGGCACAATGGCACGCTGCCGAATAATTACGAACATATAATAAATATGAGTAAATAAATGGTTTTATTGTTCATTTTTGTTATTTTACTGAATGGTGGTATGTTTTACTCACTCAAAGTAAGAAACTAGGTTTTATTCAGAACAGCATAGATTCTCACATATCTACCAAAGTAATCTATTGACAGTTGTGGGTTCATGCAAATCAGTCCCGAGTTACTGAGTATAATTTATCCTTTATAGCTTCATCAATCTTTGTTAACACCGAATGTTACACATGTAGCTCTATCGATTCAACGCAACCGGTAGTTTATTAATGTAACAAACTTCATCATCTCATTATTCAATCTAAACTTAATAAAAGAACCAATCGTTTTAAGAAATGAGCGATTTGAAATCGATTAATATTTAGATTCACCATTAAATACTTCCATCATATAAAAATTCCATTTAATATTTTTTTCAGAACCAGGAACTTATAAAGTAACTTGGACCGAAATGAGGTTAAGAAGTAGTAGATCATGATATTTTGTTGTTAACATGATAGGATGTTGTTAATGTCTTCTATGTCTTCAAATTTGTAGAAATTTCCAAACTATGTTATCGAAAGCTTATACTTTAAATGACCGAAAGAAATATACGCTTCATCGTTTTCAATTGTTGTAAGTATAAAGCTACTAAAATACTATAGAACCATAGTCAAATAGATTGAATGCTGTTGTATATGACCATGAGATCAACAGTTGATTTGAAGTACTGTCAAACGTTTATACTTTAAACGACAACTTATCAAAACCTGTAATTATGATATTTTTCATGTGGTTATTTTGCAACTAACTAACAGTGAGTATATTGCTTTACAACTACAATTTTTATTAACATTATGGATAAAATGTACCCATATGATAACCTGATTGTCAACTATCTGAGTTTTCGATTTTCAATGCCCCCGAATACCCTGGTGCGACTGAGAGTAAGGAGAGTCCTCTCTCCCTCTCGAAATGCTCTCACATGGCCACGCGTATATAGCCTCTGACAGGGAAGTCCTATTCACTGCATTCTCGTTGAGGGGGTGTTTTTTACGAAATCGAGAGGATGAAAAGCAAATGTCCGGTGCTTTAACCGAGTTGGTGGACACGGAAAGTCCACCTAGAGAAGTTGGAAAACTCTGATTCCAAACCTATGGTGCACATGGGCTCCAGTATCCTGATGGAACAAATGGCGTATGAATCAATCGTTGGACACCGGCTACCATGGAACTGCATCTCCTCACGATGCTTCACTGCCTTGTGGATCAGACCTTTAAGTCAAAGGCTCCGGGTGTGGCCCCCTAAGGAAACCACCTGTTTCAGTTTGGGCACCTGGATAGTATCACAGTCCTCACACAAATCTCGTTCGATTTGTGTATCTGGTGCTTCCTTGTACCAATATTTATGTGTTTAAATAAATAAAATAAAGAATTTTCAAATGTTTCTTTTTCATTTATGTTAAATAATGGTGTTAAAACAGAACTAACTTTTAATAGGGTTCATCTTATTTGATAAACATGATAGATATCTAAGAGCGATTGGCAACATCCTGTTAATCGAGATTTCGTGTCAATAAATACTCATTACCAACATTGATACACAATCTAGAATCAGCCAGTACTGATTTAAAGATTGAAATATGTATTATTCATCTCAGCTACTGTTTCAAAGATGACCTAAAAAACAACACTCCTTTTTCGTATTTAACTTAGGATACGAACCTTTAAGTGCTTTGGAAATCGGACTAAATTGTGAAGTTGAATTCCCTAATCTTTCTACAGTTCTTCACGTAATTCTAATTCGTTATAAAATCGTTCTTCTCCAGTCAATATTTAAAGAACTCATTTCTCAATGATTAGCCCTATTAAAAATTTAAAAGTATGCTAACAAGAGCTGTCAAGATTCTTTTAATTTATATGAAATTAATCAGTGTTCTCGGTCAGTAATTATACGTGAAAAGAAGTATTCTGCATTTATTATAAAAAAAATAATTAACAGGAATGTGATCAAATAAATCAATAAAAATTAGGTTCAAAGACAACAGAATTCGAATAAAGTACTCTGTAATAGTCAAACGTATAAACAAATCTTTAAATGTTCATTTATGTAAATACTTTATCAATGTAATGAAGATAAATTCTAGTTAGGAACATTAATTTGGAATAGTTTGAACTGTACAAAAGTGTCAATGTTATAACATTGATGAAGTAAAAAGGTAATTCTCTTGTACAATAATGAGAAATGAAATGAAATTAAACTATTCACAAGATTACATGAAATAAGTTTGATGCATTGAATACAATTTATTTATTGATGTATCAAATGTTGATGAACCGTTAGTACCACTGTTGTTTTCGACACTGTTATTATTATTATTATTACTATGGATAATGTCATTATTATTATTATTACTTATTACAAGACCAGATGAAGTAATGGGAGTGAATGCTACTTCAGACAACAATGAACTTGATTTGGAATTGGTACAAACTGAGTTTAAACAAGGAAATAATTCATGTGTTGAAAATGTTAAAGATGATTTTTCCATAGCCTTACTAGCTGTTGAAATATATGGGATGTTTGTAGGATATGGATTTTCCATTTGATTCGCTTGCGGTATATGAATGAATGGTGGTGAACAGGAAGTGACTAAAGAAATCATTCTTGTTTTGAAACTTTCATCTGGATCATTTTCATTTATTGGTTCATTTTGAAGTGACGTTATATCCTGACAATTATCAACTGTTTTATATAAGTAGGCTAAATTAAATTTAAAAAAAGTTAACTCATTTCAGTTTTGTTTGTGTATGTAAATGGAAATCACATTAAGAAACAAATAAAAGTTCGCAATACGAATGAAAACGAACTTTGATGTTAATTGGTTGCAATTGATATGTAGAGATAATTAGGCATCGTACCAATCGACACTCATCACCCAGCTGTATTTTCAGCATTGAATCACTTATACAATTGACCACATTGCAAGTTGTTCAACTGAAATTTTAAACTAGATAACGCGATATCGGTTCCTACTGACCGATCAGTTGGTATTCAAGAAAGTACATTTCTGAAGTCTATCTAAATAAAAGAAGCGATGCTTCTTTTTGTGCACACATTTCCCCTGAATTGAAAAACTTGTTCTGTTCACAAATCAGTATCTGTTTTACAGATAAACTGCAATTTCTTAACCCGTAATGTTAAATTGCTTTATAAGTAACGCTTATCTTACAAAAAGTACACGTTTTCTAAGCACACATCGTAGTGTATTACCTACTGGAATAACGTGATATAGTAGTTAACTAATTGCAGTTGTTTAGTCTATGAATAACAGTAAATATTAAAAAAAAACAAGATTTTGTCACAGAAACATAAATCATACAATAGGCTTGAATTATCAATATCCAATGATATATCAATGAATATAGGCGTGGTGAATGAATTGATTTTCAGCCATATAAATTATTGTTTTAATCTAATAATTTTTGATACTAATATTACTAGATAGTAATATCCAAATGATAAAGCGCTAGACGATAAAAAGTGATGTTGAATTATTAAAGCCTAATTTCCATCAATAAATATTAGATAGCAATTTCAGATATAAACATTGAACAATATGAATCCAAATAAAGATTTCCCAATCAAAAACTTTACAGTTATGTTAACAATTTAAACTATAAATATTTACAAAACTTATAGTTGTTCATTGAACCATTGAACAGTTATTTTCATTCGTAATATAATGAATATGAATAATATTTTTTTAAGAGAAAATTGTTTTTGAGACGGTGGAGAAGATTTGTAGCTCAGGTGGATGATTATGATGAAGTTTTGTTTTCTGAGCTGGATGGTTTGGTCATGGAGCCTTCATCGTCCTTCTGAACGACATCATCAGCACAAACGTCGGGTAGAAGTGAAGTGTTTGAATTTCTGCACATGTGGTTCACAGCTTGGTTGGGAGATACAGCAAAACAAAGAAATAAACAATGACAGATTTAAAGTCAACAAGAACCAATGAACATCGAATTGCGCAGGACAAGATGTAAACCATATGTGGAGAAATTCAAACACTTCAATTCTACCCGAAGTTTATGCTGATGATGTCGTTCAGAAGGATGATGAAAGCTCCACAACCAAACCATCCAGCTCAGAGAACAAAACTCCATGAAAATTGTTTTTCAGCATTAATTATTACCTGAGAAACTTGACCAACTATATTATTATGTACAAATAATAATAATTTGTTGTAACAATAATATAATAATAACCTTTCATTTATTACTTTAATTTCAGCAGATGTAAAACATAATATTAATTATTCATAATAATCATTGGTCCAAGGTTATATATGAGAAAGGGTAAAAACTCTTTAGGAAATCACAAAACTGATCAACGAAATTATACATAAAAATGTCAATCAAAGTTCATTTCATTAGTTTATTTAAATACAGCTGCTTGAATAAATTGAATATTTGGATCTGGTTAAATTTTTAATAATTCGAATAAGTTAAATTTATTCTTGTCAACTAATCTATTTTGATAGACATAGTTTATGAAGTTATATATATACACATATATTTAATTGATTTTGTCGTTTTGTTTTATAAATGACAGGGAAATGAAAAGAAAGAGGGGTACACAATTAATAGATACTTTATGAGAAAGAAAAATGAATGTCTTCACTGACTTAAAACCCTGGTCTATTGATGAAGACAAGCGGTAAAATGTAGCATGATTGAAAAATTCAATAATAAGAGACTGACCAGTTGCAGTCCTAAACATCAATGGGAAGAGCCAAACAAACAATGCTAAGTGAATTAAACTTCACCCTATTGCACAAGCAAGGGTCTATCAGGACTCAGTCGCTGAGAGGATAACGTGACGGTTCGAGTCCCAGAGTGAACATCAACTCTGAGATGCAGGTACATCCAGTTGACGAGTCCCAAATAGGATGAAACTCGCGTCAAACTGGATTCCAGTGTTAGCTACTATCCATCTTTACTTAACATGCTTGTGAACTGACGCTATTTCGAGGCAATACGCACAGTATGCACATATGGCCAATAAGAGACTAACCAGTTGCAGTCCTAAACAACAATGGAAAGATTCAAACAAAGAATACTAAGTGAATTCATAAAATATAGTTATTAAGGAATGATTTGAATAGTGATTGTTCACTAATTACTTTAGTATAGTGCCTTGACAGTGATTGAACACAAGTATTGAATATCAAACGTATAAAGAGTTTCTAATTTGGAACCCCAACAAACAAATCTGCCACAAAATAGAGAATTAAACAATTTTGGTAAATTTTAAATTTTCTACTTTCTTCAATACAATTTTAATGTTATATTTAATATTATATTAACTTACGTATATCTGATATAGTAGGATTTCTTACATTAAATAACATAGAGTTTGGTGATTGAATTCTAATCATTTGTTCATTATTAATCATGGGATTGTTAATTAACATTCTACGATTTGACTGTTGTCGAGATTCTTGAGCATGACGACGAGCTAATTTTTTAATCTAAAAGTAGTAATAAATATACAGATGAAAATATTGTTACCCTTAATGAAATGTGAAAATATATATCGAAGATCTGAATTAGTTTATAAAATAAACCTTATCTGTTGACATTATGATGCGAAAATTAAGATAAAACATTTTCATAGTTGAGATCACGATTCAATTGAAGCTAGACCACCAAGGAAAACCTGGAAGCAGTGGATGGCCGTTTCGTCGTATTGTGGGACTCCTCAACAGTGCGCATCCACGGTCCCGCGTAGCGAGATTCGAACCCAGTACCTACTAGTCTCGCGCCAGAGCACTTAATCGATAGACCACTGAGCCGGCATCCGAAGATAAAACAGTTGAAAAGTAATGAAAGGTTATGAAACTATTAAATACAATAAGTTATTTGATAGGAATAATTTCGTCATTGCCTTAGTAACCAGTGATTGAATGATTATTAGATTAAATGATTAGGTTGTATGGTTCAGTGAACTTTACAAATCAGTCCATTATCGGTTAAATTCAATTAATATTGTAGTAGAATGTACGGAAATGTAAGATTTGAAGAGTTAAAGTGGAATATGTGTTGCAATAGAGAGAACTGTTATCCTCATAAAATATATTGTTTGTGTGTTTGTGATTTATTCTTATAGTTGTACGTCAAATGGAAATCAGGATATTATTATAAAAAATTACCACTTTTCTATGACTCAAAATAAACCAAACTCACCTAAAAGCTAAATGCTTAGATAAGCCTGATATTAGATTTTGAGTACCTTTTTTTAAAACTGGTCTTTTTACATAAAGAATGGGTCATAATTAGGGTAATTAGCATTTGTTTTAGAAGCGAAAGTTACACATTAATCATTATTAATCATGATTCATGTGGCTCCTAGAGTTTTTTTAAGTAGCCAAATTACAAATAAACAACATGATGGTAGAATGGAAATTATTATACTGAAACTATCAACTTCTTTATAATTCTATTGAAACGATCAAAATGATCATTGAGAAGCTTGAAACTAACTTCTCAGTTCTCGCGAATGAATCCTATAATAAATCTTAATATTTATGACCCTCTATTGTTTCTATCTTATTTGCAGTTTATCTCTAGTTTTGTTACGAACTAAACACTTGTTTTCGTTACTTAGGGTCATATTTTAAATCAATTAAGTTGAAAGGATCAGTCAAGTTATCTAACTGAATGGTTGTTGTATATGTAAATATCTGTTTGTATTCCTGATACTTTCAGTTGTAATACCGAATAAATAGTGCCTATATTAGGAATATTGTATTCTATAATGTTGTTCTCAAATAGCACTCATTGACATACAGAATACTTCATTTTGCTTTTGACTGTTTCTAATCGAATTGAAAAACAGTTCACTTTTAAATTTTTTACAGATGAATATTACAAATGTATGGGTATTGATTACAAAGTGATGACAGTGATACTTTACTCAATGTTCTAAATCCCACAATAACCTAAACAGGTAAATTTTGTTTATATTCAGACTATTTTAGTTCCCTTTAGTAAATTAATTACTTGGAGAATAACTGTAGTTTAGTGAATACTCTGAAAGAGTGGTCTTTTGACTACCAATCAAGTTCATGTCTGACTCGATAGATGAAACAAAAGTCTTTGGTCACCTTATTTAAATTAGACTATGTTCTTTGAAATCTGTCACACTGTTCTACTATACACCGTTGATTTATCAATGAAATACACGACAAGGTCTTCTAACAATCGTTGATTATTGCAAAAACAATTAAATTTGTCATCTATAACTTTTGAAAGAGAGAAGTGCAAAGAAAATTTGTGTACTTGAATATTAATAAACCCGTGCTTCATCATTAAATACTCTCTGCATTGGTTGATTTTCGCCACCCTTAGTCAAACTGTAAAGTACGTCCATTCACAGTTATGAGAATGAAAGAAATCCACGAAGAAGTCCATAATTTTTGGTTAACAAACAAAAACGGAGGAAAATCCTTCAAAATGAATGAGATATAACATTTATTAAAGAAACTTGACCACTGTAGTGAAAATATATTTAAAGTTAATATCTTTCACTGTGATTAATTTGCAAAGCCAGTGAGCAGAGACTTTCAACTCTTCGAAGACCATAATAATAAAGTTTAAAGAACTGTACATACCACTAGCCCATAGTTATCAACTTCAAAAATTCATTCTTTTTCATTGTTTGATAACAACAGCACTTTTCTAACCTTATTCTACTTTATCCAACTTACTATATAGAGCCAACTGATGGATAAAATACTTCGCTAATGGCACAGAAATTTTCTTTAGTGTATGCCCCCGTTCTCATTTACTGATTTAGCTGTTCTATACACAGTTCATTATAAAACATTTGTCTCAACACAAGTCCACAACATTCCTTTTTAGACTAAATATCTTATTCTCAGGATACATATTTATATTCAAAAAATATTATCCCTTTCAAATAGAAATAATTAGTGAATGTCATCGAACATTATCATAAATAATAGAAATAATCACCTTTGCACGCTGATTTTGAAACCACACCTGTACAACACGAATATTTAGACCAGTTTCTGTTGCCAAAGCTTCACGTATCTAAATTAATCAATGAATTATTTGTTAAAAAAAAGTCTTAAATACCTTTTCTAATTATAGACAAAATGAAAACCAGATATAAATTATTCAACTTTCAAATATAGATTAATACCATAGTCTTATCTTTGGCGTTTTCTGCGGATTGACCAAATAAATTTAACTGTATATCATTATAAAGTCTAATAAGATTTTCTCTTAAACGCATCGGTATCAACTAATAGACTTGGGTATTATATTCAAACAGTTCGTTATATGAATCATATATTCGAAATTATTTTCCCTGAATTCAGGCATCTAAGGAATATCAACAGTACATCAATGGGAGATAGAACATCTGAATACTACCATATTTATAAATAACAATTAGATTTTCTGTAGGTTAGTATTCTCTTCACTCTATTTGCGGTGGTGAATTTTTTATTCTTAGGTTAGTTAATTTGGTATGGGATAAATGTATCCTGAAGTAAATCAAGTTACTTGATCATTCTGCAATTCTGGAAGTAAATCATTTAATTATGAATTTAGATTTGATTAGATCTTGTAACCAAATGCTAAGTAAATCACTATGAAGTGAAAACTCAGTAGATACAGTATGATGACATGTTGTTCCTAAATTATAAACTTTCCACTATTTTCTTAAAAACGTTTTTCGGTCAATATGAATATCCATCATTGATTGAATGAATAACTTGACAAAAACTGGGTACTGAATATGCAGAAAATACTGAATGCGGAAACTATATTTAAGAGCCTTAGAGATTGAAATTAAAATAATTTTGGCTTCTTCGGGGTACTAATCAAAATCAACGTTGTTAGAGTTAGCTAACTAAGATTATTTCAAACACAAATTCCATATTCAATGTTTTTTTCATGATTATATTAGTCTCATAGGAGGAAATGTCAATCCCAATTAGAATGAAAAATTGTAGGTTACATATTGTCTTCACGGTTATTTTAGTTAGAGTTTAACAGCTAAATGAATATGGGTCGAAAACAGAGACGTAAAGACATTTTTTTTTTAAAACTACTTGATTTTTAGAATAACAGTTAAATTGATTAAAATAAATGGTACTCGTGCTAATTAAAAATACTAATTTAGCTAACGAGTTGGTTTACCTTACGTGTTGGTTTTGGATTGAACTCAAATATAGCTTTGAATCTGCGACGTTGATTGGCTGTCAAGATTGTGCGTGGTCTCTTGGAATTTTTTCCAGATTCAGAATCACTATCCATTTCATACAGTTCATCATCATCCATCCTATCTGCATCTAAGTATTCAGAAATGTATTCGGATTATTAACTATATTACTCAGTAAATTTGTATATAAAGTTATTTCATAAGATTTATATTTGGAAACTATTGAAGACATGAACTAATAATTAAGGCCTTACAAAATGAGTTACGTGAACGAGTATTCAATTAGTAATAATAACTGTATGAAACTACTCTAAATATCTCTAGAGAATTACCACCAATTAACTATGCTTGACGTCGAATCATTGAGAATTAAATTTATACATTAATCTTCATGTTTCACTTTACTGAACTTACTTTGCTGATTGGCCACAATATCAACCCGATAAGTAAAAAACTTGTCAGTACTGATGCCAGATATCAATGACCGACTAACCTACATACATAAATCTTCAATAAATTCACCGTAGCTTTTTTTAGCTATGATACTGAATGAGTACTATTAAAGTCAATGTAAAAATATCAGTTCTTGTCATACTTCTAACCAAAGTTATTTATGAATCAAAATAAGCATGTTATCCAAATCACACAATTTTATCTATTATACAGTAATCGGTCGAAAGAACAAAAAGTATCGTTCATCATTCTAATGACATAAAAACGAATTCGGAGTTACTCAAACATTGAAATTATTGTTAGATGTGAATAACTCTCTCAAAATATATATAAATAGTATGTGTTTAACTAGTGAAATTAATTATTATGTTTATCATCAAAAGCAGTAATGAATGAGTTAACAAAGTAAATTGTATATTTGCTCTCAAGAACTGATTAAACACTTTAAGGTTTGAAGGCATCTAGAAAATGTTGATCCAACACCAACTTTGTTAAACATTGAAAACATCTGGCATTAGTAGTGTTTTACGTGCATGTATATGAGGAAAATATGTTTCCAGTTACTGATGAACAACCATTAGTGTTTGCCTTAATAACATCGTCAGTAGTCCCGATATAAAGTCTAATTATCTTATATCTTTCATGGAATAAAGTAGTAACTAATCTGTTTATGCATTTTTGATCTTTAAAATAGTATGCTAACAGACTGGGAACAATATAATTCTCAGTTATGAACAGTGATATTTTGTAGAGGTTTTAAAATTTTAGAGTGAATTAATCCTGTCTGATTTCTTTTTAAATCCATCAGTGGACTAATTGTTACCAAGTTAATAATGTTGCCACTTCATAATCTTTATCAGTCTCAACCTTGATTTTCAACATTTATTCCATTCATAACAAACAGTGACGTTATGTTGTTTACAATTTTGATTCTCCCAGTTGAACTATGTTCTAATATATCTCACTGAGAATTCTGATAATTACTATATTATTAGGAAACAGCATTCATATCTTATATTTAAATACTTTTGAACCTCTGTGCATTGAATGTACAGTTAAACAAAATCTTACCTTTACTTGAATCATCACTAGAATTCGGTGCAGATATATTGATATCTGATAAAAGAACTGAATCATTCAATAAACTTGTATCAATGGTACTACTAGTTGATTTGTCATAATTTCCAATATCTGATTTTATTTCAAGTGTCATCAATCGATTTGATTCTTTACAATTCACATCTGTATCATTTGATTCTTCATTGGAATATCTTTCTTGTTGTTCATTCATTCTGTTATCTTCATTATTTGTGTCAGTAGGATAATTATCATTCACGTCTTGTGTACATTTTTCAAACTGTAATGATTGTCTAAATGATTCTTGTAATCTTGTACAAATGTGTTGTGATTCTTTGTCAAGTAAATATTTCTCATAATCCATTATACATAATGGCATACAATTTTTTATTGTATACTCTTCACCAGGAGTTAATAAACGATTACAATCACAACATTTAAAACAATCTACATGAAAATAATGAATTAAAACAGATAAATTGAATGAATCTTTTGTAGTATCAGTTTCTTCATTGGCAAGATTTAATTCGTATCTGTTTGTTGTTGGTGTATTGATCTTAGCAGCATTGGTAGAGGTAACAACAGATGACTGGAACTCAAGTATATTTTGTTTTTCTATGAAATCATTTTGTATTGATGTTGACTTCACACTTTTATATGTGTATAATCTAAGGACAGAGTCTTCTGATTGAATTAATTGGTTACATCCTTTACAACGAATTCCGAATTGCCTTTTTAAGTGAAAATAAAGAGATAAGATAATGAGATATATAGTATGTATACCAAAATGGTATAAAAGATAAGATGTGATTCCTTAGAAACTTGTTATTTAATTAATTACGAATTACTGTGTTATAAGTTTCGTAAGGAATCAATCAACTAAGAATAATTTGTGCCGCTCATTTATAAAGATAATATTTTTGTATAGGACTCAATGATCAAAAATTTTCAATCCATAGTCAAAGTATGAAACATTCAACATCACTTTCAAGGTGCCTATCTTGGTACTTTCAGGAAAGAACTAATGATGAATGTATATTTACTCTTCTTTTTAACGATCATTCACAGTTTATTAAATTCAATACAGGAATCCAAATTAGTAGCTGACAATTATGATATACATATAGACTAAATAAGATGTGCTGTCAGGTTGTCAATAGTTACTGCAACCGACATACATTTAAACACATTTTCATGAACGAATTATTATTAGGTCCAATAAAGGAAAACACATATTTGTTTTAAAACAACATATTACCAATATACACATTGATGTTCCTAATAAATATAAAAAATGATCAGATAATTATGTTGTTTCACATTGACTCCATTTAGGTAGTTCATAATTACTGTTAAGAAATGGTGACTTAATTAATATGAAATAAGGAAATAAAACTGATATTGGAAAAGTAAACATTTTTCAAAGTAAATAACTGATGGTGATGATAATAATGATGACAGACCAAAATATATTTTAGAGAAGATATATAAGATACCTAATATTATACATAATTAAACTTGTATTATGTTCATAATTTGCCAAGTTATCTACATATTTAAATAAATATTAAAAAAAAGAATTCAGTTAAATGCCCATCAGGGTATACCTTCCCATATTTCATTGTTTCTGTTTTCTTTAATCACCGAATTATCTAATTGAATGTACATATCTTTTGGTGTATTATTAGTGGGGATTGGCAAAGCAAGGACAACATTACTACAATTGAGGGGCATATGGAACACAAAACAACTATCAAGTTACTGCACAGTGACAAACTTCAATATGAACGTCAAGACAGTTAGTTCTGTCGTATGGAGCTGAAACGTTGATAACTACTACATCCATCGTCAAGAATGCACAAGTATTTTGTTTACACAAAATACTCAACATTCACTTGCCCAATAATATCAGCAACAGCGTTTCATGGGAGAGGATAAACGAGCATCCAGCTGAAGATGAAATTAGGAAAAGACGTTGGAATTGGATAGGACATACATTAAGGAAATCACCAATGTGGATTACAAGGCAATCTCTAACTTGGAATCCGGAAGGCCAAAGAACACATTACGTCGGGAGATAAAAGCAGATATGAAAAGGATGAATGTTAACTGTAAAGAACTGGAAAGGATCGTCCAGGACAGGGTTGGATGGAGAATGGTGGTGTGCTGCCTATGCTCCTCGACGAGGGGTAACAGGCGTAAGTAAAGTAATAGTGAATTATTATTAGTGTATGCTTCTAAATTTTGTCAAAGTAGTATAGTTTTATTTGTGCTACTATACACTTTTCTATAAAACATACATTGATATAAGTTTAACATTAAGAAAATCTGATATTTCCTTTTTCTTTTATAAAAATAATTAACAGCTAAAGATAGTACACGATTGTAAGTTCCCTAACTGGTGTTTCAAGGTTGAAACTATATAAATTTTTCTTAAGAAGAGTTAAAATTAACATGATTTGTTATAAACTAAACATACAAAATATAAGTTGATTCAAGACAAAAAAGAGGAAACAACTTCACTAAACAAACTCTAGAATACATTACATATTGAGCAGATTTATACCATGATGTTAGGTTCTATAGCATTAAAGCACTACAACCAATGATTACTATCATTCGATGAAACTTATTTAAGCCATCTACAAAATCCTAATATCATTCAAATAGTGTAAATTCCCATTTTGATATTTGGTAAATAAAGAGGAACAAATTGAATTATAGAAGGAACGAATCGAACGAAGAAATTTCTTTTCAAATTTCTTCACTCATTTCATTCCTTCTATAATTCAAATAAATAGGGAATAACTTTACAAACTAATTCCCCACTATGATAAACAGATAAATAGAATTCAATTCTGAAGGCCAAAGGAAAAGAGGAAGACCAAAGAACACATTACTCTGAGAAATGGAGATCGACATGAGAAGAATGAACAAAAGTTAGATAGAACCAGAAAAGAACGCCTAGGACAGAGTGGGTTGGAGAATGTTGGTCGGCGGCCTATGCTCCATTGGGAGTAACAAGCGTAAGTAAGTAAGATTAACTTACTATCATTGAATCATTATCCTAAAGATAAAAAACGAGTAAAAGAACATAACTAACTTTTATGCAATAAAATGCAATATCATATAATAAAAAGTAATATTATCTACTTACTTAATATAATCATTTCGACAATATAATTTTTCATTACGTACTAAACATTTATCATGTAATAAACAATGACATATTGAACATGTAACACATTGTTCATGCCATGTATTATGATCAATACATAATAAATATGGATCCCAAATTGGTTGATGACAACCAGCACATAATAATGGTATAATATTAATCATAACTGATGAGAAATAAGTGATTAGTATTAGAAACTAATGTTTGTTTGTTTTGTTCGTTTTTTCAAAGTGACCTTGATGTTAAGTTGTTCTTTTAATTTATTTTTTTAAAAAAGATACGATCTATTATTTGTTTATTAAATTTGACTCAAAATTCTTTTTTAAAGAAGGAAGCTCAATTTATTCTTATCAGAGTCAATAAAATTAGTGAAAAAGAAAAATGAACTTAGTTGACGCTTATTCAAATGCGCTTAGTTATTATAAAATGAACCAATTAAAATGCATTGAAAAATCTGTCGAATTATTCCCAATATATAACTCAATAGAGATTGGTATTTAGAATTTTTTTCTAATTACTCAGACAATCTACTCCTAGATGAGACAGTAAATATACATATATATATATATATAGTCTGATAGAAAAAGGTGAGAGGGATTGACAGAGTATAGTTAGAGTAATATAATATATACCAATAAAATTTCGTTGGTTAATCATGTTGAAAAGTCAACATTTCTATCTCTTCCCCCTACAGTTAAATTTTAAAATGAACCATCTTTCCTATACAAGTTATAAAAATTAATTTCATTAAAAAGGAAAACAATAACAATCTACTCATAATTGTATCATGAAGGGGGTGTGTGTGTTTATTTATTCATCATATATTAGATTTATTCCATGTTTATTTATTTTACTGATTCATTGGATACCCTAGAATTAATGATAAGATCAAAAAAATTATAATTTTAATTAAGAATGTAATTTTTTAACTGTTCAATTATTATTATTATTATTTTGTCAAATGTATACAATGAATATTTTAATCATTAAAGCAGTACAATTGAATATTAAGAAATGTTTTGTCTGCACGATAAAATGATTAAAAATTAATTAAGTACACTAAATCGAAAAAAGTAGAAACAAAAATAAACTAGCAAAGATGGATAATGGCTAACAGTGGACACGCGTTACGTTCTATTGGGGACTCGTCAGCTGGATGTACCTGCATAATATGCAGTCCTAAACATCAATGGGAAGATTCAAACAAACAATACCAAATGAATTTGAACTTCACCCTATTGTACAAGCAAGTGACCCTCAGGACTCAGTAACTGGGTGGATAACACGATGGCGTTTGAAGCGAACTGGGTTGTAGTTCCAGAGTGAACATCAACTCTGAGATGCAGGTGCACTCAGCTGATGAGTCTCAAATAGGACGAAACGCACGTCCTGGATTCCACTGCTAGCCACTATCCATCTTTGCTTATAATGTCTGTGAATTGAGACAGTATCAAGGCAAAACGCACATTATGCACATATGCCAGTAGGAGATTGGTCAACTGCAGTCCTAAACAAAAATGGGAAGATTCAAACAAATAATATCAAGTGAATTTGAAAATAAAGTAGAACAAAGAAAGGATAAGGAATGATGTTTAAACATGTAAGTGTAATAATTATCTTGAAAAGTCAACATAAAGTTTACTAGTCAATTTGTAGTTTATTAACATTCAAGACATCTATATATTGTCTACAAATTGTTTTTTTTTGTCATATTGACCAAATTGCGAATCAGTGATATTTGATTAACTAGTTAAAATGTATACTAGCCTTAATATGAGATGGTGATTGGTATAATAATTTGACAAGTAAGGTTAAATACTTGTCAATAGTAAAAGCATGTAAAAGCTTTCATAATTGTTCAACATAGAAATCGGCGGAATGGGCTATAGTAGGATAAGTATTATTCAGTGATGGCAACAAGAACTTCACAATAAAACCACCTAACTCCGTAAACATAGTACCTCTAAAAGAAAACGAAAACCATTTAATCATCAATGTTCTGCGTAAGTTCTTACTGTTAAATCGATCGTTGAGTGGTTTGATTTCATAGAAGCAGAAATCACCAGAAATTACCAGGAAGTATGATAACTTACAATCTTGACTGAAAGCCTTTCTAAATAACCAAGCCAAATTTAATGATATATACTTGAAAATATGGTTATAAATCCAGCCTAAGTCTCACTCAGTAGTCTCATAGACCACTGATAAACATCATACACTGTATTGTTTGTCAGTCAATATGATCATTAAACCTTCAAGCGTCATCATATTATTTGTCACTATTATCGTTATCAATAAGTTTCACTTCGGATAAAGGTCAATTAAGCCAGTTATTCTTCAACATGGATCATTGAGCATCATATACTATTCCCCCGAAAACCATGAAAATTTCTGTTAAAATGGCTCATCTACATATGTATCTAAATAAAATAGTCAAAATTATTATTTACATCAAATACTCATTCTACACTAAGCTTAGATTTTGAAATACTAAAAACTAAATTTTATATAACAGAAATAATCGTCTAAAACCACACATTGTTAACCGTTAAGTTTAATCTATATTTAAATATGTAACTTTCCCACCGACCCACCCTCCTCATCTTAAAAAAAGATACTATTACCATTTAAAAGTCAGTCATCATTCAATAGATGATTATTCTCTATAAAGATGTCTAACTATTATCTTTTTTAAAAACATCATTCTTTTTGAACCAAAAAAAACAAACAAAACAAATGCGACCTAATGACAATTCAAATAAAATTATATCCTTACTATTTTAATTAAGATCTCAGTATGAGAATGTAGTAGAACAATGACAAAATACTCAATTAAGTATGGTAAATGAGCAACTGCATAACTTAATTAATATATATATATAACAATACAATATTTTGTAATATGTTAAACAGAAAAAAGTGCACCTTATCATGTGTATTAATAATATTAAAAGTAGATTAAAATTGGGTGACATTCTTGAATGATAAAACATTGATAGACAAATGAAGT